GGAGTGGAACAAAAACAAAAAAAACAGACATGTAACGTCCTCATTTTTTCTGGACGGGGTCCCTGGAAGCCCCGAGCCGTTCCCCGGGACCGGTTTTTCATCCTGAGTCGTTTTTCGACGGCCCCGAGGCCCGTCGAGGGCCCCCCGAGGCCGAAAGTGGCCAACAACCTCCCGTCCTGATTTTGCGAACGATGCAATCATGTCTGGGAGCATCTATTGAGCAGGGACCAACCGGCCCAGCATTTCTATAGTCCTGTCACGAAATGTTCTGATAACCCAAAAATGTTCGAAGGACAAAAACAACGGTCTTAGAACGTTAACCCGATGTGTCAAACCAAGACAGCCCCAGCCAGAAATGTTCTAAGAACACTTCCTGCAGACTACAGAAGGTTCTTAAAATATTGTCTGGTGGGGCTATAGGCGAGCCAGGACGCTTCGCCACTACTTGAAGATATGAAGGGGCCCTGGGACACACAAATAAATAGACACAAATAACCGAGTTCCCCGTATTTTCCAATATTTTCTGAGTTTATGTCTTCCCCCCCACTTCCCATATTCTCCCATATTTTCTGCGAGTCGACGATTAATTGTGTCTGTGTGTTTTTTCCCCTACTGGATCTAATCGCGGGTCTGGGAGCCCCGCGCGGCCCGCGCAGCGCGGCGGCGCGGCGCGCGGGGGGGGGCTCCGCCGCGCCCCGCGGCGGCTCGCCGGCGCCGTGCGCCCCGGCGGCCGCGGAGGCGCCGCGCGGGGGCGCGCGGACCACGCCGCGGAGCCGCGCCCCTGGGCGACGGCGAGGCGGCCCCCGCCGCCGGCGGCGGGACGGCGACGGCGGCGGCGGCGACGACAGCGACGGCGACGACGACGACGGCGACGACGGCGACGACGGCGAGGGCGACGGCGACGAGGACGGCGACGACGATCATGGCGGCGACGACGGCGAAGACGACGGCGACGACGGCGAGGACGACGGCGACGAGGACGGCGACGACGATCATGGCGGCGACGACGACGTCAACGACGACGAGGACGACGACGATCATGGCGGCGACGACGACAGCGGCGACGGCGACGACGACGGCGACGACGACGACGGCGGCGGCGACGGCGGCGGCGGCGGCGGCGGCACGGGAAAACCACGGGACCACTACGGGACAACCACCGAACATCATGAGGTCAACCACGAGACAACCACAGAACTACGGGACAAGCAAAGGACAACCACGGGACAACGATCGGGACAACCATCGGGACACGAACATCAGGAAAATCACCAGGATCGGGAAAACCATCGGACAACCATCGGGACAAACATCGGGACAACCATAAGGACAACCATCGGTACAACCATCGGCACAACCATCGGGACAGCCATCGGGACAATCATCCAGCGGGACAACCATCGGGACGACCATGTGGACAACCAGCAGGACGAACATCGGAACAACCGTGGGACAATCGTGGGACAACCCTTCGCAAGCCCCAGACGGAAGGGGTCCGACTCGATGTGGTGAGAAGCCTGGTCCTTGCAATTGTAGAAACTCGAGCAACCTCGCCTCGCCCACACGTACGTCACACACGATACGAACCAGAAGCGAAACAGAATTTCCGCTTGCACGGTTCCGTTACATCTCAGTATCACCCCCTAGCCTCCGATGCACCACTGTCATCACCGTTACGAGCAGAGCCGTCGCAACCGTAGTCATCGTCATCACTATCATCAGCACCCAGATCAGCATCAACATCATCATCGACAAAATCGTTACTCGTACCATCATGGTAGATGGCATTGTGATTATCCGCATCGCCACCGTCATAATCGCCGTAATCGCCGTAATCGTCGTGGTCCTCGTCGTCATCTTCATCTGCATCGTCAGCAGCATGCACATAACCGACATCGTAAGAGCCAGCGTCATGCGTATTAATAGTGGCATCATCATCAGCAGCAGCAGCATCAGCAGCAGCAGCGGCGTCACCACCAAAACCACCATCATCATCATCATCATCATCATCATCAGCAGCAGCAGCAGCAGCATCATCATCCTCCTCATCTTCATCATCAACATCATCATCATCGTCACCACCAGCATAACAATCATCCTCATCATCAGCAACAGCAGCAGCGGCATCAGCAGCATCAGCATCAGCATCATCAGCAGCATCACCATCATCATCATCAGTATCATCATCAACGACATCGTCGTCACAATCGTCATCATACGCATCATCATCATCATTACCATCATCATCGTCAGCATCCTCATCATCATCACCAGCATCATCACCATCATCATCCTCGCCATCATCAGTCACCGTCGTCGCCGTCATCATCATCATCAGCATCATCATTACCAGCATCGCCATCATCAACGTCATCGTCATCATCATCAGCATCATCAGCATCATCATCAGCATCATCATCAGCATCATCAGCAGCATCATCATCAGCATCATCATCGGCATCATCATCCCCCCTCTCCTTTTCCTGTTTGACCTCATGTCGCTCTTCCCCCATCCTTCCCCTCCCCCTCTTCCATTCGCCCCCTCCGCAACTTCAGCCCCTCCCCCATTGCTATTCACCCACAGCACCATCCCCACTTCGATCCAGAATCCCCTCAAACCCCCAAAACTTTGCAAAACCGCTAAACCACCCTCCCGCTCCCTCCTCATCCCCCCAGTCGCCCCCTCCCTCCCCCCCACTCCGTCACCCCCTTCCCCCCAGATCCCCATGCCCTTCAGCCTCCCCGCACCCTTCCCCTCTTCTCAGGACGTCTGGCCTTTACGCGACGATTTCTCAGCCCTGGCTATGTTTCGATGACTGTCCATGGGTCCCGGAACAATGCCTTCCCCAGAGCCATACTTAACCCCTGAGATCCGACGTCTCGAAAAATTGAAACATCGTGAAAAATCACGACCGGAACCCTGGACCCCATCTTTCTTCTTCATTTTTCGAGCCGGATCAATCTGCGAGGGTCCCGCTGCTCGAAACCAAGCGAAAACGCCCGGCTCAAAAAAATCGAGTCGCCAGGATCTCAGGGTTAGCCGTCCGATGCTCCCGAGACACCAAGGAGTATGGGGCCACGGGTGTCTCCAGAGGCCTCCAGAGGCGGTTTTTCGGGAGGTCACCCAGAAGGCCTCTGCAGAGGCCAGCGGGAGCCCAGAGAAGTGCGCAAAGAGAAGACACCCCACGAGCCCAGGCCATCGAACCTCGATCCTCGATCCTAGCACCTCCGTCCTCGATCCTCGATACTCGAAACTCCGTCCTCGATCCTCGATCCTCGCATCTCTGCCCTCGATCCTCGATCCTCGATGCTCGATACTCGCACCTCCATCCTTGATCCTCGAACCTCGAACCTCGATCCTCGATCCTCGAACCTCGAACCTCAATCCTCGATCCTCGGTCCTCGATCCTCGAACCTCGCCCTTCCTCCGCCCCCCCTAGCACGCGACGGCCCTGAAGCTCGCTCTGCGGGATCAGCGCCCAATCGGCCCGAGTTACCTCTCGGGGGCCCAAGGGGGCGGAAGCGGAGGAGGAAGAGGGAGCGGGAAGAGAGAGAGGAAGGGCCAAGACTGCTGGCGCCGCGCGCAGTTGTCTGTGCCAAACCCGTCCTCGACTGCCGCCTGGACGCGGTTTCCTACATCCCCCCCTCCTCCTCCTCCTCCTCCTCCTCCTCCTCCTCCTCCTCCTCCTCCTCCTCCCCCTCCTCCTCCTCCTCCTCCTCCTCCTCCTCCTCCTTCTCCTCCTCCTCCTTATCCTCCTCCTCCTCCTCCTCCTCCTCCTCCTCCTCCTCCTCCTCCTCTCCTCCTCCTCCTCCTCCTCCTCCTTATCCTCCTCCCTCCTCCTCCTCCTCCTCCTCCTCCTCCTCCTCCTCCTCCTCCTCCTGCTCGTCCTCCTCCTGCTCCTCCTCATCCTCCTCCTCCTCCTCCTCCTCATCATCATCCTCTGGAGGCTGCAGGTTTGCTGTTCAGGCCCGAGGACCGTCAAGCAACGTGCTTTTGAACGCATGGCCCCAGCGAACGCGCGGCGCGGGAGGGCCGAGGTCGGGGTGACTGCAACATAAAATGGCGAAATAGCATACCGCAGAGAGGAGGGAGGAGACGAGGGCGGCCGCAGAGAGGGAGCGGAGCGCTCAGAACATGCAAATCTTCACGCCAGACCGCCAAAAAGCAAGCCGACATGAGAACAAAAACAACAGAACGAACGGCAACAAAAACAAGTTGAACATTGCTTGCTCTTCACTGCCCCACTCAGCATGTATGCGCCAAGCCGTCGACTCCCGTCCTCTTCGCTTATGAACGTTCATCCTGTGAGGGGCTCCACTTCGACAACGGCAAGACACGGGTCGAGCGGACCCCGACAGGATCAAACAAGCGGGTCGGGCGGACCCTAACAGGCGAGTCCAGCGAGTCGGGCAGGCGGGACATGAGAGCAAGCGGCTTATGCGAACAACGAACGGCGACACCAACACCACCAGGGCGAAGAGATGCGAGGAGCAAGGGGAGGTCTCCCTGGTGAGGTGGTCCCTCTCTCGCCCGAGGCATCCCCAGCCTCCTGCTTGGCGGGGTATAGTGGAACTTTCCTGGCTGGAGGTGGCCCCCGTGGTGGTGTTGGTATCGCGTCTCCTCCCTCCGAGCATTACCCAGAGATCCGATGTCGTGATTTTTCCCATGCGCGGTCCCTGGAAGTCCCGACCCATTCCCCAGGACCCGTTCTTCACCCTGCGTCGTTGTTTGACGGTCCTGGGGCCCGGCGAGGGCCTCTAGAGGTCGAACTCGGCGAAAAACCTCCGTCTTGATTTTCTCAAGACGTTGGATCTCTGGGTATGGCCTTCAAGGAACCGGCCCAGCGTCCTCGAACGGACGGGCCGGGCGGCGAACCCTTGCGTGTAGGACGAGCGGGCCAGGGCGAGTCGGACGGGCCAGTCGGACCCTGGTGCTAGATCGGGCGTGTCCCCCTACAGGCGGCTTTTGGACGAAGAATGAAAAAAGACCCAGAAAAAGCTCAAAAAGACTCAGCAATGGTCCAAAAAATCGTCCGCTGACTATCTTTGGGGGGCTATTTTTGAATTGTCCGGCCGAGGAGGGCTTCTGCAGGGGCGCGGCGGGCGGGCGGCGGGCCTATAGCCCGCGGTGGGCTCGGGGGCTTGGCCCCCAAAAAAAACGCCCCTTCGAAAAGGGCCCAAGGACACACAAACAAACAGAGACAAATCTCGGGCTTCCCCATATATCCTCCCCTGCTTTCTGGGCTCCCGTCTCCCCCCCCTGCCCATATTTTCCCATATATATATATATATATATATATATATATATATATATATTCCTGGGAGTCGACGATGAATTGTGTCTGCGATTCCTTCGCAGGTTGCGAGAGAAGTCTCGGGCGAGAGCGCGGGCCCTGACGAAAGTGCGAGATCGTCCCCCGCGAGAGCACGAGTCCTGAGCGGCGACGAAAAGCACGATTCCTGAGCTGACCATGAAGATGTCTCGATCGAGAGCACGATTCTTGAATTCAGCAGTGACACAGTATGAGGCGGGAGCCGTTGTTGCGTTGTTGTTGTGGTTGTTGTTCTTATTGTTGTTGCTGCTGCTGATGCTGCTGCTGTTGCTGATGTTTTTGCTGTTGATGTTGCGGTTGCGGTTGCGGTTTCTGTTGCTGTTGCTGTTGCTGTTGCTGTTGCTTATGTTGGTGCTGTTGTTGTTGCTGTTGCTGTTGCTGCTGCTGTTATTGCTGAATTCTCATGTCTAAAGAATAAGTACTAATGACTCCCCCCTCTTGTAACCCCTGTTGTTTCACCTGGGACGTGCACCCTTTTTTACACATGCAAGCGAGGGGTCACCAAACTGCGCTGTTGGGCCCCGAACTATTACAACAACAACAACAGCAGCAACAACAACAACAACAACAATCAGTTTAAGACTGTTCGCTCCTACCTGTTCAAGTGCCAATAAATACGTATATCCCGAGCCCGCGGTACCCACCCTCGTCGTCTTCAGGCGGGTTGCTGAAGCGTGGGTCCTATGTAAATCGCAAGGAATTCTCGAGCGATGGCGCGATTCCCAAGTAAATCGCCAGAAAAGCCAAAGCGAAAGCGCGATTCCTGAGCGCCGAGAGCGTATCGTCTGCATAAACTGCGAGGAGGTCCCACGCGAGAGCGCGATTCGTGTACAAATTGTGAGGGAATCCCGCGCGAGAGCGCCATTTGGTAATAAATTGTGAGGACGTATCAGGCGGGAGCCTTTGTTGATGTTGTAGACCACGGGCCAACAGCACAGTTTGAGCCCCGTGACTTTTTATGATAAGAAACAGGGTGCGAGCCTCGGGGGAAGCACTTCGATTGAAAAAACTACACTGGTCACCAGAGGGGGGGGGCAACAATCATTATTCTTTGAAAATTCAACAACGGCTCCCGCCTCATACTTCCTCGCAGTGTATTCCCATATCGCATTCTCGCGCTGGATTTCCTCACAATGCATACAGGAGTCGCGCTCTCGCGTGGGACTTCCTCGCAACTTCTTCAGACGCCCCGCCCTCGACACCCAGGAATCACGCTCTCGCTGTGGACCTCCTCACGATGTATTTGGGAATCGCGCTATCGCTCGAGACTTCCTCGCGATTTACGCAGGACGCACGCTTCAGCAACCCGCCTGCCCCTTGTCCCTTCCTTCCATCCATCCTCTCTTCCCCTGCCTTAGGGGCTACACGAAATACACGTTGCAGGTAAGAAAGATATGCCCCCGAGGGGGTACGATCGAAGACGAAGAGGGCGGGTATCGAGGGTTTGGGGGATACGTGTTGAATGGCACGCGGGCAGATAAGAGCGGACAGTCTGAAATGAGTGTTGGTGTTGCTGTTGTTGTGGTTGTTGCTATTGCTGTTGCTATTGTTATTGCAGCCGAGGGCCCAACGACACAGCTTGAGGCCCAAGACTTCCCATGATACAAAAAAACACTGTGCGAGCGTCAGGGGGGCGCACTTCACTTGAAACACACAATTGGCACCAGTGCGGGGGGATCAACAATACGGTCGGGAACTTCTGCTAACCCTGTCGCGGCGGCAACCCCGGCGTCACGCCATGCCTTGCGAGGTGATAGCGTGTCGCTCCGCCCCGCGGGACTGCCGCCGCCGTCGTCGTCGCCGCCGCCATCACCGTCACCGCCGCCGCCGCCGACGTCACGCCGCCGCCGCCGCCGCTGTCGCGCTGGGCCCACATCCGCTCAAAGTCGGTCCCCGAACCTCTCGCGGGAACCACCCAGACCCGTCTTTCAAGCAGCTCCAGCCGTGGCGACGAGAATCCTGCAGGAGGCCCCCCCCCCCAAAAAAAAATGCCAGGGAGAGAGCCGTCGTCGCCGTCGTCTTCGCCGTCGCCGCCGCCGCCGCCGTCGTCGTCGTCGTCGTCGTCGTCGCCGTCGTCGTCGCCGCCGCCGCCACCGTCGCCGTCGGGCGACGAGGGCGCCTCGCCGCGGTCCGCGGGGACAGCCGCCGCGCGCACCTCGAAGCGCAGCTCGGCGATCCGCCGCGCGCCGGCGCGCTGCTCCACGGCTTCGGGTGCTGCTAGAGGCCGTGCTGCTCCAGGGCTTCGGGTGCTACTGAAGGCCCCTCCTCACCATAAATCATCATCCTGCTCCTGCTCCTGCTCCTGCTCCTGTCCTGCGCCTGCTACTGCTCCTGCTCCTGCTCCTGCTCCTGCTCCTTCTACTGCTCCTGCTAATGCTCCTCCTCCATCCTGCTCCTGCTCCTCCTGCTCCACCTCCTCCTGCTCCCTCTCCTCCTTCTCCTCCTGCTCCTCCTCCTGCTCCTCCTCCTCCTCCTTCTCCTCCTCCTCCTCCTGCTCCTCCTGCTCCTGTTCCTGCCTTCTCCGTCGTCCCATCCACCGCAATAACATACCCACCCACCCCATCCTCATCTGCATGATCATCCTCACCCTCCTCCTCCTCCTCCTCCTCCTCCTCCTCCTCCTCCTCCTCATCATCATCATCATCATCATCATCATCATCATCATCATCATCATCATCATAATCATCATCATCATCATCATCACCACCACCACCACCACCACCACCATCATCATCATCATCATCATCATCATCACATCATCATCATCATGATCAGCAGCAGCAGCAGCATCATCAGCATCAGCGTCAGCATCAACATCAGCATCATCATCATCAGCATCATCATCATCCATAGCATCAGCATCAGCATCAGCATCATCATCAGCATCATCAGCACAATCATCAGTATAATCATCATCATCGCCATCATCATCATCAGCATCAGCATCAGCATCAGCATCAGCATCATCATCAGCAGCATCATGATCATCATCATCAGCAGCAGCATCATCATAATCCTCAGCATCATCATCAGCGGCATCAGCATCACTATCATTAGCAGCATCATCAATATCATTATCAGCATCATCAGCAGCAGCATCATCGTCATCATCGTCGTGGTCGATGTCGTCATCATCACCATTATCAGCTTCCCCAAAGCATGACCCTCATCACCACAACATCCAACGCCACCGCCAGCCCCGAGAAAATGTCGGCCATCATCAACATAGCCAGTATCATCACCATCATCAGCATCATCATCAGCACCATCATCATCAGCACCACCACCATCATCATCAGCATCACCATCATCAGCAGAATCAGCATGCATCACCATCAGCCTCATAATCCTCAACAGCATCGTAATCGGCATCAGCAACATAATCATCATAATCAGAACCATTAGCATCATCATACCATCGTATGAGACGCATACTCACCGTCAGTATCACAAACGCCATCATAATAACCACTACCACCACCACCACCACCGCCAGTCATCGTCATCACCACCATCGCCATCACTACCAACATCATCACGAGCAGCAGCAACGTCATAATCAGCATCACCATCATCATCATCATCATCATCATCATCATCAGCATCATCATCAGAATCATCATCATCATCATCATCATCATCATCATCAGCATCATCATCATCAGCAGCATCTCCTTCATCATCATCACCATCATCATCAGCATCAGCAGCAGCAACGTATTGCCACTCCCATTTCCACCTCGTCCCCCGTCCTCCTCCTCCTCCTCCTCCTCCCCCTCCTCCTCCCCCTCCTCCCCCTCCTCCTCCTCCTCGACAGGTCGGGCGTTGCAAGTGCCCAAATGTGCCCGTTGCCCCCGACCTTGGAGGATCGAGGCAGGATGCATATGAACGTTCATGCTCGTGCGCCTCAGGATGCCTTCGGGTGCGTCCAGAAAACTCCAGGGACGCCCGCGGGTCCGGATCCTGGGCGGAGGCAGCATGTATAAGTTAATAGAAGTCGTCATGTCGCACAGTGTTCTGCTCCTCCTCCTCCTCCTCCTCCTCCGCCTCCTCCTCCTCCCTCCTCCCTCCTCCTGCTCATCCTTCTCCTCTCCTCCTCCTCCTCCTCCTCCTCCTCCTCCTACTCATGCTCCTACTCCGACCCCTCGCCCCTTCCTCCCGCTCCTCCTCCTCCTCCTCCTCCTCCTCCTCCTCCTCCTCCTCCTCATCCTCCTCCTTCTCCTCTTCCCCCCCCTCCTCCTGATAATGTTCCTGATCATCCCCCTCCTCTCCTCCTCCTCCTCATCCTCCTCCTCATCCTCCTCGTTTTCCTCTTCCTCTTCCTCTTCCTCTTCCTCTTCCTCTTCTTCCTCCTCCTCCTCCTCCTCCTTCTCGCTCATCCTCCTCCTCCTCATCATCCTCCTCCTGCTCCTCATCATCATCATCATCATCATCATCATCATCATCATCATCATCATCATCATCATCATCATCATCATCATCAGCATCATCATCATGATCAGCATCATCATCATCATAATCAGCATCATCAGCATCATCCTCACAATCAGCATCAGCAGCATCATCATCAGCATCATTAACACCATCATCAGTATCACCATCATAAGTATCATCGTCATCATCAGCATCATCATCATCGTCATCATCATGCTCGTCATCATCGTCATCATCAGCAGCAGCAGCATCAGCAATATCATCATCAGCATCATCAGCATCCTCTTCTTCCCCCTGCTCCCCCTCCTCATCCTTCTGCTCCTCCTCCTCCCCTTCCTAATCCGCCGACCCCTTGGGGTTCATCGGCGTGTGAGATGTTCCCCCTCCCCAAACCCCTCCCCCGGGAGCCCGGTCCGGTCCATTTGGAGAGGGGGGGGGGTCCGGCCGGACGGCCCCGAGCGGCCCGGAGGTCTCATCCGCTCCCGAAAATCGTGGAAAAACACGTGAAAATCGTGTAGGGACGCGTCTGGTGGCCTCGAAATGGGTTTGGGACGCCCCACGAGCGCTCCAAGACGTCCAAGTTGGCCCGAAGACGGGCCACGAGGCGTCCTCGACGGCAGAAGAGGTCCCCACGAGCCCCCCCGAGGGCCTCCGAGATGCGTTCCACAAGGGACCCTAGACGCAAAAATTGGGCCATTCCCTTCGTGAAATGTACATTTTTTAAGAAATTCAGCTTTGGATCTTTCCGATGCTCCCCGACGGCCCAAGAGGCTCCCAAACCCGCTCCCAGACGGCCCCAGAAGCCTCGCAGAGGGTCCCCCACAGACCCCTAGAGGGCCCAAGATGGGCCAACAGGCGTCCAAGACGGCCCAAGAGGGCTCCGAAAACGGCCCCAAGAGCGTTCCAGGAGCGCTCCGAGTTGCCTCCACGAAGCTCCACATGGTCCCAGACGGTCCAAGAGCGATCAGAAACATCGACGACGACCTCCCGACGGCTCACGAGGCCTCCCCAGACGCCCCCACAGGCATCCAAGATTACCCCCAAGAGGCCCTCTAGACGCAAAAAATCGCTCGTTTCCTTCGTAAAACGTATCTTTTTCACACGTGCGCCTTTGGGGGTGTCCCCAGCTCCTGCACGGCCCCAGAGCCCGCCAAACCCGCTCCCAGACGGCCCAAGACGCCTCCAAGAGGGTTCCTACACAACCCTCGAGGGCCCCAAGACGGGCCAACTGACGTCCAAGACGGCCCCTTGGGGTTCATCGGCGTGTGAGATGTTCCCTCTACAATTACACAATATGAAAATACTCTCCCACTTCCCCTGATGGCGTCCGGAAGATATTCGGCACCCCCCCGCGTACTGTTTTTTTACACACAGGATTCCCCGGAGTTGGGTTTTCGCTTGTGTTTTTTTCTAAAATGCTGCTCTCGCTGAGGCGCCGGCCTCATTTCTGCTCCCGAATCGTTCCGAATCGTGCTCCCGCTCCAGCGTGGGCCTCATTTTCGGATCGGTGTTTGGCCTCCGTCGTTGAGGATGGCGTTCTCGCCCCAGCGCGGGCCTCTTTCTCGCGCGCCCATCCGCCCGCCACCACCGCGCCGCACCACCACCACCACCACCACCACCACCACCACCACCACCACCACCACCACCACCACCACCACCACCACCACCACCACCACCACCACCACCACCACCACCACCACCACCACCACCACCAGCACCACACCAGCACAGCCCAGCACCAGCACCAGCACCAGCACCAACACCAGCACCAGCACCAGCACCAGCAGCACCACCACCACCACCACACACCACCACCACCACCACAACCACGCACACACGCACGCACGCACGCACGCGCACCACCACCCACTAGTTACGCACGCGCGCGCGGAGCCACAGGTCCGCTACGACACGCGTCCGCGGATAGAGAAAATCAGCGCCATGGTAAGGGATGGGAGGGAGGGGTAGGACGTCAGATATGACGCGAGCGCACCTAGCTTGCCCCAAACCCCTCCCCCGGGAGCCTGGTCCGGTCCATTTGGAGGGGGGGGGGGTCCGGCCGGACGGCCCCGGACGGCCCCGGGCGGCCCGGAACCCCCCGGAGGTCTCATCCGCTCCCGAAAGTCGTGGAAAAACGCGTGAAAATCGTGTAGGGACGCGTCTGGTGGCCTCGAAATGGGTTTGGGACGCCCCACGAGCACTCAAGACGTCCAAGTTGGCCCGAAGACGGGCCACGAGGCGTCCTCGACGGCAGAAGAGGTCCCCACGAGCCCCCCCCGAGGGCCTCCGAGATGCGTTCCACAAGGGACCCTAGACGCAAAAATTGGGCCATTCCCTTCGTGAAATGTACATTTTTAAGAAATTCAGCTTTGGATCTTTCCGATGCTCCCCGACGGCCCAAGAGGCTCCCAAACCCGCTCCCAGACGGCCCCAGAAACCTCGCAGAGGGTCCCCCACAGACCCCGGAGGGAGTAAATTGCTCCAGAAATTCAGCTGGATGGCGCCCGACGGCGTCGACATGACACCCAGAAGCTCCAAGACAGCCCAAGATGGCTTCCAGCTGGCCCCAGATGGCCCCAAGCCGCATCCAGATGGTCTCCAGACAAAGCAATAAACGCCAAAGACGACCAAAGAGACTCCCAAGAGCCCTCCCAACCGGGCTTCAAGAAGCCAAACTAATTGATTTGCCTAAGCTTTGTAAAGTGTTGGGCCTCCTTGCCTCTTCGAATTTCC